AAACAAAATGAAGGCAACCCGGTAAACTGTTTGTACAAACCTATCACTATAACTTATAATTTTTTGTATCACCACAACCATTGACATCCAAAAAACAAAATGGCTTGTGCAAAGCATATACACAAGATTACAAACAACCAACCACCAACTAGGCTAATCGTCAAGGACGATAACCTCTTTATCTGGAATAGGACTCGGAGAAGATCCCACGCTTTTAACCAATTCTTCTTCCGGTTTGAAAACTTTCTTTATCTTCTTAAACAAGGGACATGTCTTGATGCACCATTTGCTTGCTAACTTGTTTTTCTGCACATTAGTATTGGGGAACTAAAATTTTGGCATAGGTGTAACAAAAAATGTATCTACTCTACTTCCTTACTCATACCATTTTTTTAAATCAATACTTGCATGTAAATAACTAGTAGCTCCATCCATCAGACCACCGACAACACACATCATGGTTGTGCTCCAAGCAAACATCTTGGCTTTCAACATATCTTTGATAGTGAAGTATTGCTTCTTCCAAAAGAATATTATCATGACAAGCTGTATTAGGTCCAAACTAAATTCGGGAATCCTAAACCTAAAGGTGGGTACCCTCATATACAGAACCTCCAAGATTCGGATAAGAGAAATATATAGGCCTACATAGTGGACATTTCATTGAAGAATGCGCAAGTAATCTGAGAACTTTCCTGCTTATCACAATATGTATGCGGTATTGGTACGTGATTCATTAATGTATGGCATGATTGAAGGGAAGTTCTTGTTTCTTTTGATGAATCTCATATTTTCTTGAGTCATGCAGATTTGCAATCATTATTTGAAACCAATTGGGTGCGTGATTTTGTAAGTGTATTGCCTCTAACTAAATTTTTGTCTTCAACTATTATGAAGAATGTAAATTAGTCCCAAAATGACACTAACTTGTCAATTCTTGTCCACTTAACAGATCATAAGTGTGGTGCCTTGTATTATGTCGACCGTTCAAAAGATAGACACCACCACAAAAAATGAGAGATGGTACTTGCCAACTTAGTTCTTGGTAATGTATTTCTACACATATGCGTTATGTACTCGTTAACTGTCTATATCAATTACATGAATCTAATTTAATTCCATTACAGTGGATAGAGAATGTTCGTTTGGATGAAAAAATTTGAGAAAACTATGCCTATTTAATCCGCAACATTAACAAATGTAATAAGGTTTGACATTGCTCTTTAGATTGTTATCATATTTCTTATTCATCTTTTTGGATATTTATGTCTTATTTTATTCATGGTTTATCTTTGTGTTCTAATGTAGATATGTATACCTATTAATGATGAGAACAGTCATTGGTATTTAATGGTGGTAGATGTAAATAATAAGGCAATGATGATTCTCGTCTAAATTCTGAGTTAGCAGATGATGTTGAACAGATATACAAATGGCCTATCAGTACACCAAAATGGGTGCCGATTCAAAGCAATGGATTTGATTTGATTGTGGGATGTACGTAATAGAGTTGATCTGAGCACCGCATTTGGGTCAAAAATTCCCTATAAGGGTATTATACTTCATTGAATTTTGTAGTATATCTTATAGTGTTGTTTTACAATTGGTACAGAATGAGGTTTTCTAACATGATAATGCAATATTTTTGTGCTATTGTAGGAACCTACTGCAGATACACAAAAGGAGTTAGCACTCAGTCTTGTCACACATGTTGACAACAAACGCAGGGACATGATAGTTTTTAGGGCATCAATGGTGTGAAGATTTTGGTAGCGTCCCATTTGTATAGTTTTGCCTTACAGCCGGTACAAAATGGGAATCTGTTGTTGCAAATTTCTTGGTTGTTGTAGTTATCTTCTTGTAAGCTATTTACATTTCCCAAATCAATTTTTAGTATGGGTTGCGACATTTAGGAGTGGGTTCCAACTTTAATGGTTGGGTTAAAACAGTTGGTGGATTCAAAATTTTTTGGGTGGGGTCTAACTTTTTGAGGTTGGATTCCAATTTTTTTGCAAGGTGGATTCAACATTTTTTGGTTGGTTTTCAAATTTTTTAGTATGGGTCATGACCTTCGGGCTATTCCAATTTTTCTGGATTATATTACAACCTTTTGAGAAGGCTTCCTACTTTTAGGTTAATTGGATTATTTTACTACTTTTTTTGGGTTATGTTACTACTTTTTTTTATATTGAGATTATTTGATTTTTTGGTGAAATAATGATTACCCCTGCAACAGGTAACTGGTATCCTCCCCTTATAACTCATTCAGTTACAACCCAGGATTCATCATATGATGGTGCAATTAATATTTCAAGCCACTTCCAAAGAATTGGTTTTTCAGAATTCTCTTCTGATGCCATTCCTGTGGTGAAGCAGACAGGACAACTTGCAAATTAAGTTCAGGATATAGTTTCACTTGTGATTGTTACATTCTATGGTTAAACCTGTAAGGTTATTTTTTTCTTCCCTCTACTATTGACGAATTTTTAGTCTTTTTAGCAGTTTTATTTTGGCATAGAAGAGAAGGAGTTGCTGGATAAGTGTGAGCACATATGCGTGAGGAAGCACATGTTGGTTGAGAGGATGCAAATTCTTGATGAGTTTGCTTACATTGGAAGGAGGGCTTGTTCCTGGTTAGCAGTCGTTTCAACCTCACAAGTGGCTGGGGGTATAAAATATTTTTTAATTAAAATGTTGAGGGCATTAGATTGCAGTGCATAGACTGGTTGGTGAGAATGGTTGTTAATTGAGTATTGGTAGAAATAGACAAATTCTGGAATAAGGGCTTACATGAATACTGTTTTGAGTACAATGGTAGTCCTATTTGGACTGCAGTTGGTATATCATGGCATATGTACATAAATGCCCTTATTGTCCATTGAAACCATTATTTAAGGAGACTTAAATTTCGTATACCCTGAACAGTAAATCTGCATATTTTTCTACTATCATTTACATTTCCATCCCTTCCCTTCTAGTTCTATATCTCCTTCTTTTCTACTCTCATTTCAAGATCTTCAACTTTTTTACTCTAATCTTGAACCAGAGAATGACCAAACAACATAAATGGTATGTTGTTTTTAATGGTAGGGTTGTTGGCATTTACCCATCATGGGAGGAATGCCATCAACATGTTGTACGATAGACTGGGGCATTGTACGGGAGTTTTGACTCTTGGGAGGATGCAGAAGTGACACTTTCCAACTATATTGCGTCTAAGTATGATAATCCTCACATAGCCGGTGGATAGATGACACATGAAGTGGGTAATAGGGCACAAGTGAAGATGACACATGAAGAAGTGGGTAACAGAGCACATGTCAACTGCAGTGCGAATGAATTTGTATGGTGTATTGTAAGATTGGTAATAGGTATCATTCTCACTCATATTATATACCACTTTGTCACACGATTATGAATTGTTTGATGTTTTATCCAACTCAAAATGGCCTGCACAATTCTAATTTTTTTTTAAGAAGAAAGAAAGATTTTATAGATTGAACCCAAGAAAAATACAAGAATCAAAGGTTTACAAGATAAAGCATCAAAATACAATTGTACACATTCTTGGTTTTAATCCTTCAAGATGCTTTGAAGGAATTTACATTACTACCAAAGAACCCAGGCACTTCAAACGAACTAATTCAACAGTCCACCCCATGCTGCTATCAACCTAGCCACAACAGTGCCTACAAAATAACAAGGACGAGCGTTTTATTATCAAAACTGGCAACCTCCTCTAATCCTGCATCACTAGCGTTCTTCAGAGGCTTGGCAAAGAACCCACAACAACAAATTCAGAAGAACATCCAATAGCAAATCCATACATTGCAAAGCCTTCAAATTGAGACAAAATGCCCCATAAAAAATTGTAATTGTTTGGTTCCAAAAAATATATTGTTTTGTTCCACAAAATATATTATCATCCCTTTCAAGACTATATGACATAGACTACAAAACCTCTAGCATATTTCATATAATTAAGCTAGTTACCCATGTATAAAATGAACCAAGAGACAAGATTATAACGAAGGCACGATAGCAGTACAAGGATGGCAGTCAAAAACTGATAAACCTGTGGAGATATTAGTTTGNCAATGAACCAAGAGACAAGATTATAACGAAGGCATGATAGCAGTACAAGGATGGCAGTCAAAAACTGATAAACCTGTGGAGATATTAGTTTGGATTGGGAAATTCCAAAAGTTATACTAACTTTTTTTATATATAGCGTGGACTGGTGGATCTGGATCATATGAATTGGTTTGTCCCAAACTCTTTTTTAATATGCATTCATCAAATGGACTCATAGGAGACTTATAAGTGTCGTTTGGGTGAATGACAACTCCATAATACATCATGATCTTAGAAATTAAGATGGGAAATGGGAGACTTTTTCACTTATCATCGACCCANGTATATAGCGTGGACTGGTGGATCTGGATCATATGAATTGGTTTGTCCCAAACTCTTTTTTAATGTCCATTCATCAAATGGACTCATAGGAGACTTATAAGTGTCGTTTGGGTGAATGACAACTCCATAATACATCATGATCTTAGAAATTAAGATGGGAAATGGGAGACTTTTTCACTTATCATCGACCCAAAATGCTGAAACAATTTCAATAAATATTACACAAGGGAGATCTATACTTACCCCCTTCCCAATGGCGTAAAGGAGATGAACTTTATCAAGTCCAAAATCAGAATTGTGTCCTCTCGGATATTACATCCCACTATACAATTTAAAACCCTATAATTGGGAGTGAGGCATCTTTGATAAAATGTGTCTATTTTTACANCAAAATGCTGAAACAATTTCAATAAATATTACACAAGGGAGATCTATACTTACCCCCTTCCCAATGGCGTAAAGGAGAAGAACTCTATCAAGTCCAAAATCAGAATTGTGTCCTCTCGGATATTACATCCCACTATACGGTTTAAAACCCTATAATTGGGAGTGAGGCATCTTTGATAAAATGTGTCTATTTTTACAGTAATAGGTGAACCATAAAGTTCTGTAGCAACATTCTCGACCATAGGTTTATCATTGAGATTCTTATATGGGTATGTAACCATATTCTCACCAATGAAGGGTGAGAGAACCTTCAATATCTTTGACATCAAATCCAGATTCACTTCAAAATGTACATTCCTCATATAAGATTTAAACTTAAGATCTTCCTTCTCAATATCATGCATATTTGCATAAAATATCCTAACTAATCTATCATACGCTTTGTCATTCTTATCTATTTCAACTATAGAATTCCAATGTTGAAAAACAAAAATAACAACACAGTTCACATTTGTCATCTAATCCAATTGAGCACCACACTCTAGTAACACAGGCTTATGGCAGAAACGAGTATGATAAAACTCTTCACTAATTCTGTTGAAGAAAGGATTTACTGAAATGAATGAACTTACCAAATTTGGAAGATATGAGGAGTGATCAACATTTTTATTTATTTTTGGATCAGAGGGATCAACTGACTTTGGACAACTGGAGGAATGGACCGCATTTGGAGGTTTTGGACAATTGGAGGGATCACCAACCTGTTTATTCTTCATTTGCCCAATTCCACGATAACAAGTGTTATCCACTTTTGGCTAATACTTTCCCTCGGCCTTCCTCTTCTTCTTCGTTTCTATGGAATTCTAGTGTGTGTTTATCTGTTGTTCTGATATATTACTAGAAAAAAAAAAAGGGACATACCCAATCAAACATAATAAATCTACACATATGGTATTCATACGTAAATGAGAAAATAAATATGGAACAGTTCACATCCTCACACACGTACACACAACATACTCGTCGCATACACGCGCTCAAAGTAACAACAACCACACACAGCCATATGTTATAGAATACTTACTTAAAGTGAGATTTGAAGCATTATGGAGTTAGGGTTTGGTAACGATTGATTGGCTGATGTGAATGCTTGAAATCAATTAAATTTGGGTTAGAAATTGATCAAATTTGGGATTGTTTTGAAACTTTCAAATCTTGATCCGATCGCTGATATGAATTCTTGAAATCGATCAATTTTGAAAGCTTGAGATCGATCATTTTGAATGCTTGAAATCGATCTTAGAGTTAGGTTCAATGCTTGAAATCGATTTGGTTGAAGGATGTGAAGGTGTGAAATCGATTTGGCTAAAGGACGAGAAGACGTGAAATCACTAAAATCAATTGAAGGCGTAAAATCGATTTGGCTATGGTTAAAGATTATGAACTTCTTCTCAGAAATCTTTTATTAAAACTGCTTCTTCCCCTCCAAATCTTGCTCAGACACATTTGCAGGTCTTCTCCCAGATCAGAAGAACAAGTGCGATCAATGTATGGAATCTTGTGGTTGAAGATGATCAACCTTCTTCTTTAGGATAAAAGTACAATATCAAATGGATAAACGTGTAATATTATAGGATAAGTAAGTGTAATTACACACCAAGATCGGTTGCCCATTCCTATGATCGGTCTTAATTCATCTATAAGTAAATTACACTTACAACTTTTCTTGGGTTATAACTTTTGTAGATTTGGTTTCAAAATTTTTGGTATCGTACAAATTTTTAGGGTTAGATTATAATATTTTTTGGGGGGTAACAAATTTAATGGTATGATTATAACTCTTTGGGTTTGGGGTACAACTTTAATGATGAGATACAACTTTTCTAGGATTGTGTCTTTTAGGACAAATTTCACTTTTCACCCTGAAAGATTTCTAAATTCTCAATTTACACCCTGAAATATAAAAAAAAAAAACTCACATTGCACCCTGAAAGAAATAAAATGGTAGCAATTAGGTCCAACTCCTAACCACCGTTCAGTTTGCCATCTGTTTTTGCTCTCTTGCAAAGCACATGATAACTCAGAAGGGTAAACCTGTAAATGAACCATTTTGGCGTTCAAATGGTGAGATCTATGGTTGTCTTCTACATTTAAGGTCACAGTGCTTCACTGTAGGTAGAGATATATGACCTTGGGCAAGAAAAAAGAGAAAAATTGGGAGGTGGAAGAAGAGGGGAGAATGCAAGCATTATGTTACTGTGGCCACAGAGCTATAACGAAGACCTCTTGGACTGCTTTAATCCCTGGGCGAAGGTTTATCAGTTACGCACAAAATGAGGTATTTTGTTGAATGAGTTTCTCATAAAATTTCCTTTGTTTCCCTTTTTGTTCATAAGATTTTTGGTTTGTAATCAGTTGATCAAGTACAAGTCCATATGCGTGAAAGATTTGTTGATTTTATATGTGATTTTTGTATTTAAAATTTCTATTTTTCTGATAAAGATTGAATAAGAAAATTTTGTTTACAACAAACTGAACATAAAATGGTAGTATTACTCTCTATGTATTGTGTGATATTCTAATTTTTTATCAATTCTAAAATCATAGGTTGGTGGTCCATGTGGTTACTTTCTATGAATCGACCCCCCGATGTGTAACCAATCACGCCAAATTATACCCAGTTTGTTGCACTGTGTTACAAGTTTAGAAGAACAGTTGGAGAGAAGCAAATCAAGGGGTAGAATGCTTTGGTTCTGCTTTGTTGGTTCCTGGTTTTTCTTGGTGGTTCTATATTGCTACATGGGTGATTATGAACACACTTCAGATGGACAGGTTTCAAATGGAGACATAACAAGGTTGGAGCGATTGTGAATATATATTGGTTCAAACCTATTTTGGAAGCAAATGTGATCAAGTTGAAGCTATTTCTATCAAATGTACCACTGAATAATATATATTTTGGAAGCCACTGTGATGAAGTTGGAGTTATTTTGTATCAAATATACCAGTGGATTATTTATTATGCAATGCAAACTAGATTTTGTATTTGGATGGTGTTGTATCAAACATAGTTGTAGTTGCAGTTGTATTCAAATATATCCCTTTTCATAATAACACAAAATAACACTCAGACAACAAAGTATATCCACTTTGCATATACTTCATGCAAAAATAGTTGTAGTTAGATACACCCGCATTACAAAAACTAATTGTGTACAAAAAGTGAGATACAAAAAGTGACTGCTGAGTTTTTTCCCTATTAAATAATTCTAGAATTCATTAACAGTACATCCCAAAAATCACAAAAGGTCCTAGAGTTTCACTGTGTCCCCACTACATTGTTTGTCTTCCTCACTTTCTTGGATGAGTTGGAGTGTCATGTAGGAACTGGTGCAGAGATGGAGTGTTGTGTATGAGCTGGTGCAAACTTGGTTTGCTGGGGTAGGATAGGTTGTGACGAAGTAGTCTGTGGTTGAGTAGATTGGGGTTGGCTAGTTGACAAACATGATGTATTACTTTTCATTCTAATCTGTTAAAGAAAAAAAATAACTATTAGTTAAATTTTGTTACTATTAATTGAAAGAAGGTGGTTCATGTCTTACACGTAACTTTTGTCTGCCCTTTGTAGATTTATATTGAGTAGCATCGAGGCTTGACCTTGAACCACTTTGTGATGCATTTTCCATAGCTGCCACTTGACCATGAAATGTACATAGGTTAATGTTAATAAAAATCAACCAATTGCAAATAAAAATTATGTTTCAAAAAAAACTTATTGGTAAAATATCTGCATGATCTGGAGGGGTTATGTCTACACAACTGGATTTGAGACCACCTTACACTTCCTCTTGTTGTGACCATCTTGACCATAAGTTCAACATATGATTGCTTTGTATTTCCTTCTTGACTTCACACCTTTAGTAGGCTCATCACTCTCTCTCTTTCTTGCCTTCTTGGGGCTACCAGGTCATGTGGTTTGATTAGGGGGGATAAGAGTGGCATAACCTGTTTTGGGCCACAATTCATCCCATTAATAAGACTCATCAGTTAATTGTAACACTTGAGGAATGTTTCAACCTTGTACCAATCAGCCACATGATCCTCTATTGACAAACCTAAGTAGTTGAAGGCAGACACACCATGTTTACAGGGGATTCCTGTTAGGTCCCACTTCTTAGAACTACAAGTCCTATCTTTTATGTTGATTGTTGCTTAGTCTCCACTCATCCCAACAACTTCAAACTTGTCATCCCCATCCCATGTAGGAATGAAAGTTGTTGACTACGTTTTAATGGCTTCTAATCTCTTTTGAATCCTAGGACAAATGGATCCTTTATACTTCTTAATTGAATCCCTCTATCTATGGATTCTTTCCATAAGCCAAACTCTTAATATTTTCAAGCATTGTTAAGATAGGTTTATCCCTAGCCTCTACAATACAAGCATGGAAGCACTCACACAAATTATTGAGTAGCATGTCACATTCGGGCAATGTACTAAAATGGGACCTAAACCAATTTATTGGTGGCCTTTCAATCAACCACTGATAGGTAGATTCATCAACACTTCGTAACTCCTCCATAACATTACTAAAGTCAACAATTCTTGAAGACTTAGCAGCCCTCCACAATAAGTCCTTCAAAGAAAATCCCTTATGCTTAACTTTGAAGTTGTTATACAAGTGTCTCACACATAACCTATGTTCTGAATTTGGAAAAAGAGTCTCAACTGCATCAAGTATTCCCTACATCAACAATTGGAGGAGTAAATGCATAAAATAAAATTCAAGTATAAAAAAAATAAGTAACAAAAAATTAGCTAAACTTGCCTTTTGCTTATCTGACACAAAAGTCCATGCATGGCTGTTATCTATACATAGATCCTGCTTCAACAATAGGAGAAACCATGCACAAGACTTCTTTTTTTCCTTCTCTACTACTGCATAAGCAATTGGATACATCGGATTGTTGGGGTCAATTTCAATAGCTGATAGTAAAAATGCCACATTGATGGAACTTCAAATGACAGCCATCTAAACTAATTAATTGTCAGCAACCCAATTGTAACCCACTTTTTAGTGCCCCAAAACATATGTATATCCTCTTGAACCTTACCTGATCACCTCCTACTGCTCTGGTTTTGATAATACAGGTAGAACCTAGATTGGTTCTCCTTAACTCTTCACAGTATTCCCATAACAACATGAACTAGTCTTTGTCTTTGCCACTAACCCTTGTCCTTGCTGCAATTTTGCCCCTATATACTTGGCTTTTACTTAAGGTCACAACATGTTCTTTCAACACAGTTTGTTTAATTGATTTCATTAGCCATTTAGGGTTGGATCTCAACCTTTCAACATACATATCTATAAGCCACTTTGCATTGGCATGCTTCACTTTGAAAGTTCTATTGCAACTGTGTTCACCATTAAAAGTTTTAACCTGCATTGTCTTCTCTCCTACCATGCTGGAAGCATAAATCAACCAATCACAACCTTCCCTACAAAATTTCCTTTCTATAGACTTCTCATTTTTAGTGAATCTTATGTCTTTTCCCCATTTTGTTGCATGTTGCCTAACTGAAGCTCTAAATTCAGCAACTATTTTGAACAACATACCTAGCTCAAACTATGGGTCAACCATATCAGACTTTGAATTAAACTGTGGATATTTCACCCTCTTTCTCTTACAATGTCCTCCTTCCTCGTCATCCGATGATGAACCACTAATACTTAATAACTCTTCACTGTCATAGTCTTTAGCATACAAATCATTATCAGCATCCTTTGTTGTGCATCTATCACCATCAACACCTTTCCCTTTGTCAACCCCTTTCCCCTTGTCCTTACCAAAAAATTCAACATCCTTATCAACAAATGTCTCATATAATTCATCATAAATTATGTCATGCTCACTATCATAAAAAGATTCATAGTCTGATGAGTCATTATCATTCATATCTCCATCACCACTTGATTCTGGATGTTGTTCATGAACATGGTCAGTCTCAACTCTAACTTCTTGTTGTATGGTACCACAGTTTGACTCAACCTGACTTTGTTTAATATGGTCAACATAAATATCAATGGCTCTGTCCAACCCAATTGATCATGTCCAAGACCTGCACATCATTTTCTAACACCCTCCATCCATGCCAAGATCTATGATATAATTTATTAATCTCATAGGATCCTAGTGATATGTCATCAGCATATAATCTCATAGTATCCTTTAACATACTATCTAACTTAATGAAATCTCATCAACATGACACATATCACTGTGATTGACCTTCCCACCAGTATATGTTCTATCACCCATATGTTCCAATCTACCACCATGATGCAATCAGATAGTAAAATGTTCAGAAGAATGATCTGCATGTACCACCAAATGGCTAACAAGCTACACACTATTAATATAATATACCCCCACAATGCAAACACAATTGTCCAGGAAAAAAGTAACAAAATAACAACCCACACAAACCTGCATGCAGACAAAAATTGGTCCCCACAATAGACCCACAAACATCCAAACAATGAACCCCACGATGAACCCCACAATGCAAAAAAAAAAATAGAAAAATTCTAATAAAATAACAAACACACAAACCCACATACAAAAATTGATCCCAACAATATACCCACAAACATACCAGAATGACGAAATGGACAACAATTTACAAACACACAAACCCACCAAAATGAACCACATATTCCAAACACAATAGAAAAACAAACACAAAAAATATGATTACCATTGCATTGTGCATCCCAATGAGTCTGTAAATCGTTTGTCCCTTACCTCAGCGACCACGACATTTTTTGTCCAGGAAAGCTAAGCTGGTACAGAATCAACCCACCAAGTCTATAAATTGTTCGTAGAGAAAATACATAGCCTCTTTCTTTGACTATGAAGACCTAGACAAGAATCATGCTACCTCTTCATCTTTCTTTCTCTCTCAGTACTCTAAATATGTGAAGGCAATGGCTATAGATGATCAGTTTCTTGAACCAAGGTGTTGTCATGTGCAAATCACATGTGAGATTACCTTTTTCATTTACAAGTATATCCCTCTGAGTTATCACGTGTTTTTCACGTGAGCAAAAACAAACGGCGGTTAGGTGTTGGACCTAATTGCTACCGTTTTATTTCTTTTAGGGTGCAATGTGAGTTTTTTAATCTTTTAGGATAAATTGAGAATTTAGAAATCTTTCAGGGTGAAAAGTGAAATTTTTCCTACCTTTTATGGTAAGATTACAACTCTTTTGAATGTTGTATAAGTTTAATGATGGGTTACAACTTTTTTGGAGTTATAACTTTCATGAATTTGATTTCAATTTCTTTGGTATGTTACAATTAACAATTTTGTGGGTTAGATTACAATATCTTTGTGGGTTACAAGTTTTGGGGATAAGATACAGCTTTTGAGCTAGTTACCACTTTTTAGTAATGATGATACCTAGAAGAAATTTCAAGTTCGAGCTCGGCAGTTAAGGTCAGGAAGGGAGCTCAGCCAGGGGATCCCAAGCTCGGCAATCCAGGTCTAAAGCCCCCTCGACTTGCACCCCAAAAAAATGAGTGGAAGACAGCTAGTAGTCACAACGCGCCTCCTCAACAGTAGGAAGCGCCAATCTAGGCAAAAAATCCTTAACCGCCACAACCATTGCCTAAAATCAAGCAAGACGTCACTAGTGAAAAGTGAAGATCTTGCCACAGACCCCTTTGGATCAAGAACTAGGCTATAAATATTGTACTAAGCCCTTACTAGAGGGCAAGCAATCCCTTCTGAATGGAGAAGATTTTGTAATCTACCATCCATCTTAAATAAAAGCATTAAGAGCAAGAGACGCCTTTAAAAGAGTGGACTAGCCGAGCTCCCGAGCTTGTGAAATACTGTAATCCTTTAGCATAACCTCTCCCTTCTCACCCCCAAAGTTGTTCAATCAGAATCACCAGAGCCTTATTGCTCAATACTAACCCCCAATTATATATAATCCATTCAATCATGTTTAGTACACCATTAGTTTGGCGTCATCTATGGGAATGACTGTTCCTGTTATAAATGTGCTAATTTCTTTCAGTAATTGATGGTCTCTACACGCAACATGAGCAGAAGCCAGATGAATCTCCCATGGATGCAAAACCAACAAGAGGCCACTAGCATAAGGCAACTAGAAAATCTTCAAGACTTCTTTCCCACCGCAGAGACCAATCCTCCCATGACGGATCCCCCTATGAATAAAAAATTGGAGGCTCTTTGCCTAGTCAACTAGCAGCTACTCCAACAAAACGAAGAGCTTTTGAAGCTTCTGCAAGGTCCTCAATAGACACAACAAACTCATGGTGGTCCCCCATAAGGGGAGCATCAACACCTCGATCCCCTCACGAAAGTTAACGAAGGGGGTGAGAATAGCCAAGCCATGGGACATGCTCTCCATCCGCCTCCTAAGAATGGGGACAACAAAGAGGTGCAAAGTCAGAATGATGGGATTGAGAAAAATAATTTTCTCCCTTTTCAACAAAAAATGAGAGAGCAGTACTGGGAGTAGCGCTTCAAAGACATCCAACAAGAGCTCAATCACATGAAAGAAGCTGTGAGAGGTAAGACCACAATAACAATGGATACCCTTGTGCAGCAGACTGAATCCCCATTCACCACTGATGTGTTGCATTTCTCCCTCCCTCCAAAATTCAGAATGCCACAAATGGACGCTTTTAATGGAACAAAATATCTCATAGATCACCTCAATACCTACAAGAACCAGATGGATATGCATGGGTATCAAGACCCTATCCGATGTCGGGCCTTCGCCATCACATTGAAGGGTTCAGCCTTGGCATGGTTCGATAGGCTAGCCCGGTGTCAATCTCTTCCTTCAAGAAGCTCTCCATATCTTTGGTGCCCCATTTCATAGGGGCTCGAACCTACCAAAAGTTGAGCTACCACATGTTAAATGTGAAACAGGGNGCTAGCCCGGTGTCAATCTCTTCCTTCAAGAAGCTCTCCATATCTTTGGTGCCCCATTTCATAGGGGCTCGAACCTACCAAAAGTTGAGCTACCACATGTTAAATGTGAAACAGGGACCCAACAAAAACCTACGATCTTATGTTCAAAGGTTCAACTCAGAATCCCTGAAGGTAGATGTCCCAGATGAGAAATTTGCCATCACTACTTTCATCTTTGGGTTAGGAGTGTAGTCAAAGGACTTGATGTTCTCCATATCAAAAAACCCATAAGCAAGTATGGCAAAAGTGCTAGTCAAGGTAGAAAAGTATATCAATGGCGAGGAAGCCCTCCTCTCTAAGGTAGGGAGTTCATCNGTGGGTTACAAGTTTTGGGGATAAGATACAGCTTTTGAGCTAGTTACCACTTTTTAGTAATGATGATACCTAGAAGAAATTTCAAGTTCGAGCTCGGCAGTTAAGGTCAGGAAGGGAGCTCAGCCAGGGGATCCCAAGCTCGGCAATCCAGGTCTAAAGCCCCCTCGACTTGCACCCCANAAGAAATTTCAAGTTCGAGCTCGGCAGTTAAGGTCAGGAAGGGAGCTCAGCCAGGGGATCCCAAGCTCGGCAATCCAGGTCTAAAGCCCCCTCGACTTGCACCCCAAAAAAATGAGTGGAAGACAGCTAGTAGTCACAACGCGCCTCCTCAACAGTAGGAAGCGCCAATCTAGGCAAAAAATCCTTAACCGCCACAACCATTGCCTAAAATCAAGCAAGACGTCACTAGTGAAAAGTGAAGATCTTGCCACAGACCCCTTTGGATCAAGAACTAGGCTATAAATATTGTACTAAGCCCTTACTAGAGGGCAAGCAATCCCTTCTGAATGGAGAAGATTTTGTAATCTACCATCCATCTTAAATAAAAGCATTAAGTGCAAGAGACGCCTTTAAAAGAGTGGACTAGCCGAGCTCTCGAGCTTGTGAATTACTGTAATCCTTTAGCATAATCTCTCCCTTCTCACCCCCAAAGTTGTTCGATCAGAATCACCAGAGCCTTATTGCTCAATACTAACCCCCAATTATATATAATCCATTCAATCATGTTTAGTACACCATTAGTTTGGCGTCATCTATGGGAATGACTGTTCCTGTTATAAATGTGCTAATTTCTTTCAGTAATTGATGGTCTCTACACGCAACATGAGCAGAAGCCAGATGAATCTCCCATGGATGCAGAACCAACAAGAGGCCACTAGCATAAGGCAACTAGAAAATCTTCAAGACTTCTTTCCCACCGCAGAGACCAATCCTCCCATGACGGATCCCCCTATGAATAACGAATTGGAGGCTCTTTGCCTAGTCAACTAGCAGCTACTCCAACAAAACGAAGAGCTTTTGAAGCTTCTGCAAGGTCCTCAATAGACACAACCAACTCATGGTGGTCCCCCATAAGGGGAGCATCAACACCTCGATCCCCTCACGAAAGTTAACGAAGGGGGTGAGAATAGCCAAGCCATGGGACATGCTCTCCATCCGCCTCCTAAGAATGGGGACAACAAAGAGGTGCAAAGTCAGAATGATGGGATTGAGAAAAATAATTTTCTCCCTTTTCAACAAAAAATGAGAGAGCAGTACTGGGAGTAGCGCTTCAAAGACATCCAACAAGAGCTCAATCACATGAAAGAAGCTGTGAGAGGTAAGACCACAATAACAATGGATACCCTTGTGCAGCAGACTGAATCCCCATTCACCACTGATGTGTTGCATTTCTCCCTCCCTCCAAAATTCAGAATGCCACAAATGGACGCTTTTAATGGAACAAAATATCTCATAGATCACCTCAATACCTACAAGAACCAGATGGATATGCATGGGTATCAAGACCCTATCCGATGTCGGGCCTTCGCCATCACATTGAAGGGTTCAGCCTTGGCATGGTTCGATAGGCTAGCCCGGTGTCAATCTCTTCCTTCAAGAAGCTCTCCATATCTTTGGTGCCCCATTTCATAGGGGCTCGAACCTACCAAAAGTTGAGCTACCACATGTTAAATGTGAAACAGGGACCCAACAAAAACCTACGATCTTATGTTCAAAGGTTCAACTTAGAATCCCTGAAGGTAGATGTCCCAGATGAGAAATTCGCCATCACTACTTTCATCTTTGGGTTAGGAGTGTAGTCAAAGGACTTGATGTTCTCCATATCAAAAAACCCATAAGCAAGTATGGCAAAAGTGCTAGTCAAGGTAGAAAAGTATATCAATGGCGAGGAAGCCCTCCTCTCTAAGGTAGGGAGTTCATCCTCGTAGAAGGAAAAAGGGAAGGAAGAAAAGAAGAAGGATCGAAGTCCCAAAAAAGAAAGAGGATGAGATAGGTCTCCAAGAAAAGGCAGGGATTGCTCCCCCAAAAGAAGGGGAGATGTCAGAGATCGCCTAGGTCCTCCACAGTCAGAGTTACAACAGAAGTACGCATGTTGGCAGCTCATTCCTCTCACCACGACAATATCTCATATCCTTTATGAAGTGCAGAATGAGAAATTCGTGAGGTGGCTACCCCGGATGAAGGTAGACCTAGCAAAAAGGGATGCAACAAAATATTGTGAGTACCATAGATGAGCTCATCATAAATTAAAGATGAGCTCTTCAAGTCATAAATTAAAGATGAGTTCTTCAGCTCATAAATTCAAGATAAGCTCTACAACTCAAACGAACGATGAGCTCTACAGCTTATTAATGAACGATGAACTCTTCAGTTTATAAATTAAATATGAGCTCTTCAGCTCATAAATTAACGATGAGCTCTTCAGCTTATATATTAACAATAAGCTCTTCAGCTCATAAATTAAAGATGAGCTCTAAAGCTGATAAACAAAAGATAAACTTTTCAGCTCTTTTAGCTCATAAACTCACAAGAACTATAGCCAACAGAGGAAAATTGCAAAAAGTAAAGTAGCGCAAGAAATTTTTTTTATTTCATAAACATAATGGAGTACAAGAAAAGTCCTAGCCCCCCCTAAGTCTCCTATTCAGCTCAGTAACCTCTTTTTTCCAAGGAAGCATTCTTTGTCCGCAAGCGTGCATTCTCTTCCTTCAGTTCATCCCGTTCCTTCTGCACCT